TTCTATTAATATGCAGTTCACTTTAAAAATTTTTAATTAGAAGCCGCTTTCTTTCTTTGCGCCAGGAAGAAAACTTTATACTAAAGATCCTTTCAGTTGCTTCGTTTGAGTGTGGTATTGAAAAAAAAAAAAAAATACATATTTTCTCAAACTGTGGAAAAGTACCACTATTTAAGGACTTCATCCATAATTCCTCATGGCTTAAATTAATTTTTTCAACTACGCAAAAACTTTGAAAGGCTAAGAATTCGCTAAAAAGTGTATCTAACTCTATATCATGTATGCAAAACTCCTTTACCTTTACAATGTGAGTAAATTGTGAAAAAAGAAATGTAAGTTATAGTCAAAAGCCATTCGAATATTTAAATTTGTTGTTATTAAACTGAAAGTTATTTTCGAGATAACTATCAAAACCCGACAAAAAAACGTTAGCCTTCTTTTTAAACAATTAAACCTCCAACATATCGAGGGCTTATATTCAATACCCTCTCTCTGCATTTTTCACAGAAATGGGAATCTAATTTAAAAACCCACCTAAGACTTAACTGTCATCGGTGATCTTAATTCTGACCTTGTATCACGCTTGACAGAAGAATTTACTTTTAAATTGCAAAGTCAGAATTAACGCCAGTGATGACAAATAAGCCCCAGATGGGTTCTAACATCACAAAGTTGTTTTTGTGAAAATTGTAGATAGAGGCTATTGAATATAAGCCCTCGATATTAGGTTTGTTCCACAAGCTACTTGTAGAAAAACTCGAGCAAAGTTCAAACTGTGAGCGTATATCAAAGAAACTGTAAAATTTACTTGTAGAACGCGTATGTGTAACTCGAAGTTACTTCGAGAAGCTTGTGGAACAAACTGTTGAATTTAGGTTAGACGATTTCCGTTTTTATGCTGCCTATAAGGAGTCTTTATTTGAAGTGAGAAAATATTCTTAGTACTTGATACAAGTATATAAGTTACAATAGACAATTCGTTATAATATGTGTGAAATACAATAGAGGGCGTTATAATATGTGTGAAATACAATAGAGGGCGTTATAATACACAGGGTTGAATGTGAGCATTGGAATCACTTCGTATATTCTAACACCTCCCCTCGAAGTATTTCAATTGCTGCACAAAGTGTTGTTAGCCTCTTTCATGCCCAAGTCTAAGATGCATTTGTAATGTTTCTGCGAAGGTAATCCCTTAGTTAGCACATCAGCTGGCATTTCCTCCGTTGACATGAATTGTAAACTGATGTCGCCGTTTTTGTACTTCTCACGTATGAAATGATGACGAACATCTATGTGCTTCGTACGTGAATGGTGTGCCGAACTTTGTACTAGGTTTTGTGCACTTTGGCTGTCGTTATATACTGTGACACAGGTTTGTTGCCATCCAATTTCATTCAAAATTTCGCGCAAGTAAAGCGCCTCTTTGGTTGCTTCGCACAGCGCCATATATTCCGACTCTGTGGTAGACAGTGACACTATGCGCTGCTTTCGCGCCTCCCATGATATTGGGGCGCCGGAGAGAATGAAAGCGAAGCCTGAATAAGAGCGCCTATCAGCTAAATTTGCTCCCCAGTCGGCATCAGCAACGCCATACAGCTCCAAGTGAGTTCGCTCGTACAACAGGCCGTAATTGATAGTGGCCTTCACATACCGCAGCACTCTCTTAGCGGCTTTCCAGTGCTCTGAGCTGTAATTGGAATTGAATTGGCTTAAATAACTCACCGCAAATGCAATATCAGGGCGCGTTGTAACGGATAAATACATCAGAGCGCCTATTAAGTTTTGATAAGGATAGGCTTTCATTTCGCTTGTGTTTTCCTTAGCTGGTTTTTCCAATTTGCCATTCAGTTCCATTGGAGTTTGTACAGGCTTGCATTCATCCATACCGAATCGTTTCAAAATTTCCTCAGCATATTTCCGTTGTCCTAAGAATAAGGTATTGCGTTTTAGGTCTTGATAGAATTCTATTCCTAAACATGTTTTAACCGATGGTGTTAGGCCAATATTTAGCAATTTAGCCGTCAGCTTCTGATACCATTGGTAACCAGATTGGCGCAGACCATATAAAGATTTTCTGAGTCTACATACCGGCTTATTACAGCTATCCAGTTGTTTCTGCCATGTCTGAGCCGTCGTCTGTATGCGTTTTCCTTTCGGACCCTGTGTTGGTTCAGACTCCTTTAATGCTACCTTCTTTAACACCACATCAAGATATTCAGGTACTTCCATATAGACGTCTTCTTCAAGATCGCCGTTCAAATACGCTGTAATCACGTCCATCTGGTGTATCCTCAAACCCATTTCTGCTGATAGTGCTGCCATAAGAGAATACGTATTGGTGAAGTCCTCCCCTGGACGTTGGGAGCAGCCTTTCGCAACAAGGCGTGCTTTCTTTACATTTCCCTCTTTTGTGCGAAAAACAAAACGGCTTCCAATGACTTTTCTATCAAGAGGGCGCTCAACAACGTCCCATGTGTTGTTTGATAGTTGCGCGATGTACTCATCTTCGATTGCGCGCAGCCAAGCAGAAGCTTCATTGCCATTTGAAGCCTCGTATATTGTTGTCGGGTCGTTGTTAATCGCCAAAGTTGCAAATTCACAGTCTTGAAAATCTACGCTGTTATCAGAATCGTTAGTGTCGCCAGCTTCTTCCATTATGTTTTCAATGGCTTTTTGGTATATTTTCTTTGGGCGCCCTGGCAACCCTTTTCTGTCCAATCGTGGCCTACCTCTACTACGTGGTTCGTTTTTAACATTAACGTTTTCTGTTTTACTCACATCCTCTTCTGACACAGATAAATCGTCATTTGGTCGCACACCCAATTCAATTATTTGTTGCTCAAATGGCTTATTTATGTCATTCTTACAACCGTAAAACATTTCACTGCAAAATTTTACATCGCGACTAATGACTACTCGTCGCTTATCCGGCGACCACAAACGGTAAGCCTTGGCTTCGTTGGAGTACCCAACAAGAACGCACGCTTCTGAGCGAGAGTCGAATTTGCCATTAGCTTTGCCCTTTATCAACACAAATGCCTTGACACCAAACGGCTGCATGTGCACAACAGTAGGTGTTTTGCCCGTCCAAACCTTAAGTGGTACTTCACCGCTCAGAGATTTTGTTCGACACCGGTTCCTTGTGTAATTGGCCGTATTTACAGCCTCAGCCCAAAACGCCTGCGGTAAATTTGCTTGCTTTAACAGACACCTGGCCATCTCTATTAGTGTGCGGTTTTTGCGCTCAGAAACGCCATTCTGCTGCGGCGTATGCGGCGCTGTCAATCGCCTCTTAATACCACAATCATCTAAATATTTCTCAAAATCGCGATTTATGCACTCCCTGCCGTTGTCGGATTGCAGTCCCTTTAATTTTCTGCCAGTGATTGTCTCAGATGAATTCTTAAATTTTTTGAACATCTCTAACACTTCAGACTTATGCTTGATGAAGTAAACATCACTGTATTTGGAGTAGTCATCTGTGAAGGTTACAAAGTACTTAGCGCCGGAGTGAGAACCTGTTCTCATCGGCCCGCAAACGTCTGTGTGCACGATCTCAAGCAAATCTGTGCTGTGGCGTTCTCCATGTTTAGCGAAACTTTCTTGTGTTTGCTTCTCGCTCAAGCAAACTTCACACGGCGACATTTGTTCATTTGCGTTGACTTCGATGCCATACACCATTTTTGGTAAGCGTTTTAAGTCTCTCTCGTTGAGATGACCCATGCGAATATGCCATTTGTACAGTGTAGTGTGTTTACCTGCAGCTACAGCAGCGAAGCTTTGCACAGTGTTTACGTAGTATAAATCACCAATTCTCTTCGCCGTGAGCAATGTTTTCCCGCTTTTCATGACTTCAGCCTCGTCTCGACGAAAACGTACCTCGTAACCTTTATCTGTAATTTTTGACACGGACAGCAAATTCGTTCGTAGGTCTGGTACATACATCACCTGCTCAAAGTTTATTCGCTCCTTAAGGCCCCTCTTGTTGACATCTACCTTGATATTGCCGGCGCCTCTGATCTCTGCTGTGTCGTTGTTAGCTAAGCTTAACGTTCTGCTCATTTCCTTGAAGTTCTCAAAACAGTTTCTATAAGAGCTCATATGGGATGAGCAACCGCTATCCAGGCACCAATAATTGCATGAATTAGTTGATAAACAGGCAGATTCAAATAGAAAAGAATTTTCGGCTTCTTCTTGTGCAATGCGGCGTGCATTTGGATGTGAATTTTTAGTGTTTTGTTTTGCTCGACAGTTTCGGGCGATATGGCCGTTTTCGCCGCACTTGTAGCACGTTCTTGATTCGCCTTTTATCTTCGTTTTACATTACCGGAAGGGTTTCCAACAAACTTTTTGAAATGTTTTGCTTTAGAGTTTGCAAGTAAGACACTTTGTTCTGCAGTAGCTTTCTCTTCGAGGATTTTCACTCTCAAGACCTCAGGAGATGGGAGTTCGTCCCGTGTCTCCAGGGCACAACGAAACGTCTCAAATGATTCAGGCAAACTATAAATTAGCAAGATTGCCAGTAAATCGTCGCCTACGGTCACGTTTATTTCCTTTAGTTTGCTGACCGCATGGAAGAACTCATTCAGATGCTCGCGCACATTGTCGCCTTCTTTCAAACGTGCAAGTGCTATTCGCTTTAATAGGGTTTTTTTACGCGCAGGCCCTTTGGACTGGAAGGTGGACTGTAGCTTCATCCACATTTCGTGAGAGGTTTCGCAGTCAGATATAAGTCCCAATTCCGAAGAAGATATTGACAGCATGATATCGGCACATGCTTTTTGATCATAGACTCTCCACTTGGTAGCAGCATCACCCTCTGGACATTGCTTTGACCCATCGGCGTAGCTCCACAAATCCGCTTTTATCAGTATTGCCCGCATGTGAAGCTTCCAAGTGTCATAGTTATCAGCACTTAGCGGCTCAATCCTTACAGATCGCTCGGCCATAATTACTTTTCGTAATTGTACAACGCGTGGCCGCTCTGCAGCAGTTGTTATATTTCGGAATGAATAAAAAATAAACTTTATTGAAAACGCGCTGGGCCCATAACCTGTTGAATTTAGGTTAGACGATTTCCGTTTTTATGCTGCCTATAAGGAGTCTTTATTTGAAGTGAGAAAATATTCTTAGTACTTGATACAAGTGTATAAGTTACAATAGACAATTCGTTATAATATGTGTGAAATACAATAGAGGGCGTTATAATATGTGTGAAATACAATAGAGGGCGTTATAATACACAGGGTTGAATGTGAGCATTGGAATCACTTCGTATATTCTAATACAAACCAATTATCGCAACTGGTACGTAACGACCCCGCGATATGCCCATAAAAGGATTAATATTTTTTTTGTATTAATTGCTTAGGTATATCAAACATTATCTGAAACATGTCAACTATAATTAAATTATCTTCTTACTTTGTACAGTACAGTTTAAGGAAGTTACAACGTTATGTAAAGACCTTAAGAAAATCCTAATGCTTTTTGTTTAAATTGAAAATTCATTACAAATCAGTACAAATTTCGAAAAATCAGGACATTAGCGTACTGATTGAAGAAATGAATGAAATCAGTACAAGAGTTGAAAAACCAGTACTGTACTGATAAAATCAGTACGTCTGGCAACCGTACCTGGACACAACTTTCCCTGTGCTTTATAGATTGTACAAAGATAACCGATTAAATAGAAACCCTTAAGGGAGGTGCGAAACAAACTGGGGAAGGTTTTCATTATATTTTATAAGAGACATTTTTATTTTTTGTAATCTCCGTTAAAAAAATACCTTTGAAAAATGCAGAGCCGATTTAAAGGACAGTTTAAGAAATAAAGGACAAAAGGCGTCCTTTATTTTGAAAAGAATTATAAAGGACAGGGCGTTAAAATAAAGGACTGTCCTTTAAAATAAAGGACGGATGGTCACCGTAAGTATAACCTTACAAAATGAAGTTTTAAAAATTTCAAACCTTCCCTGCTATAGCTCAATATACTCCGCCATATATATATAGCCATATTCGAAGCAATAAACACAATAAAGAGAAAAAACAAATATTTTGCAATATGCTCTGATTCCCTTTCGGCTATAAAAGCTATAGCAAACATAAACAACGACGACCATTACTCAACCACTATTAGAAATATCATGATAGCAAAATACCCTAAAATAATACTAATTTGGGTGCCGGGACACGCCAACATAACCGGAAATGAATTCGGCGACTATACCGCTAAACAAGCACATCAAGCAGCAGTACTAACTACAGAAAACTTCAACTTCAGTGACATTAAAAAACATATTAAAAAACATTTCTACAGCAAACACCACCATGAATTGAGCTCAACTAATGCATGGTACCAGCAAGTAAACCATACAAAAACCCTTATAACAGACTTTACTACAAACAAGTAAGAAAGTCTAAGTTCGGGCGGAGCCGAACATTAAATACCCGGCGCAAGTATTAAATATATGTTTTTCACCTTTCGAAAAGCTACCGCTACATGGTAAACCGGGGTGAGTAAATTAACGTCCTTAAATTTCGAAATATTGAATTTTCAAGCATTTCTGAAATTTACTGTTATATGAAAAGCGGCCGTAATTTTANATTTTTGCTAGCATCAATTTTGAATAAATTAGCTTCAATAATTACTGATTTATCGAAGATTTTGCATTTCTCTAAATTACCGTTATATGGGATGTGGGCGTGGTTTATGTCCGATTTTAAACATTTTCAGCCGTTTCGTATGTTATACCAAGGTTAACCACTGTGCCCAGTTTGGGAAACATCGGTGCAGCGGTTACCAAGATATACACATGTAACCATAAGTGGGCATGGCTACGCCCATTTTCCAAAAATTTATAATATTCTTATTTTTCGTCTAAAACTTATTGTAAATATCAATTTTGAGTGAATAATCTTCAGCAGTTACTAAAATATCGCAGTTTTTGTATTTCTGAAAATTACCGTTATATGGGAGGTAGGCGTGGTAATTGTCCGAGTTTGCCCATTTTCAATACCGTCAATACTCGAGTTATCGTGTGCACAGACGGACGGACGGACAGACAGACAGTCATCGCTTAATCGATTTCTTTTTTCATTCTGATCATTTATGTATACATTTGTCTATATCTATCTCGATTCGTTTTGCCTATTACAAACAACCGTTATGTGAACAAAGTTATAATACCCTTGTGCACAAGTGCGCTCGGGTATAAAAATAAAAACAAAGTTACTCGACTGGACCCAATGAGCCACCTATCTTCCCCAACTTCCGATTCAATATCCGTAATCACTAAATTCCTTAAAATTACCAACCTATACCATAGAATTTAACATACAAAAGTACTGTAAATCTATACACACATATTAAGCGTAAGGCCTCGATGCCATTGCTTTATTTTAAAATTAGCTTGTAAGATTTACTCTTTAAACCAATTTTATAAAAAAAAATAAAAATAAAATATTACTACTATTATTATTATTACACAGGCCGACAAAATTTAACCAACATTCAGACCCAAAAATCATACTATATATTTCCAAAGGTTTATGATACGCTGAATCCAAATCTGGCCTCAGAGTTGCTCTATCATCTCTGGTTTTCGAGATATCCTAACCTAAAAGTGCAAAAAACACCGTTTTTGCCCATATTTGAGGTTATGTAGCCTTGCAGATGTTTTCTTTCACCAAAATTGTAGGCTGGCATCTTTAAGTACAAGTCTTCTTCTTTCAAATGGCGTTTTGTTTGCTCAAATATCTTTTTTTTCCGCTGAGATATCGCATTTTGAAATTTTCATGTTTCTAAATTTTCCTACACCTGAAAATCGATTGAGATAACATAGACATGATATAGTCGATTCATTTTTTGGTTACATCTTATGATTGTTGTATCGAGAAAATTAGTAATCGATTAGTAATTAGTAATAATTTTTTAGCACTGCAGGTGTTTTTATTTAGGTTAAAATATCTCCAATAAATTATATAATAGAAGAAATAATATCTAATTTCTTACGACTAAAACCAATATGATTTCACAACATTTTTTTAATACTTCAACGTATCTATTAACATAAATGCATTTTCCAATACAATTATCATACATTTTATTTTCGGGTTTTACTTTAAGGTATTCTTGTTTATTGTCATTGCAAAAGCTGAGCGAACTGGAAACTGAAGTCTTTTAAATTCGAAAGGCATATCAAAAGGAATTAAAGGAGTCATGTGACATGTGGTTCCGAAGTTATGGCTGATAAAAAATTCCGCGCCTATATTATAAACCTTACTATAAGCAGCTATGATATGTTTGCCTACCAAATTTGAATTTTATATGACTGTTGGGTCCGAAGTTATTACTGATTAAAAATTCTACGACTATGAGATATGCCACGCACCCTCTTACAAAGTCATTTATATATACCTTACTATAAGCATATACCATAGATTTGTCTGCATACCAAATTTCAAGTTCATGTGACTTATGGTTCCGAAGTTATAGCTGATTAAAAATTTGCAGGCCTATGGGAGGTGCCACGCCCCTTCGCAAAATTTACACCATATTTGCAAACAAAACCATACCTATAACCTTCCCGGGGTAAAAACAAATAAGTGTGCAAAGTTTCGTGCGATTCCGTGCAGTGTTTCAAAAGTTATAAGGTAATAAACAAATAGACATTCACATTTATATATATAGATTTAAACATAAGTAAAAAATAAAACGTGATATTCATGAATATACTTCAGTATTTATCTCAAGATGTATTTTAAGAACTTCGTGAAAGACAACAATTAATCTCGTATTGCTAGAGACCTGATAACCCAAGATAATTTTTAAGTTCTTAAAGGACCAACCTTTCACAATATGACGGATATAGGCTTTATTAACCGTAGTCTGAAACACAAAAATATTTTAAAATTGGCGCCGTTGCATGGTGAAAGGCATTTAGTATCACGCTTTTAAACTAAAGCTTTCTTAGCACTTTCAGTACAAAAATTCAACCACTGATTCTTAAACTTTTTAATACATAAATATGTATGCCGGCTAATTTGGATCGTTCATTTCAAAAATCGCATCAACAAATTTTTAAAGTTTTGAATTTTATTGTCAACAGGGCCCTTTAAATTTGTCACACTGAGAGAAGAATCAACCAAAAAATGGCTAATATTACCAAATTCAAACTTGAAAAAGAATCAACGTGATTTTTGGTTAATATTAACAATGCCTTTTGGTTGGCGATTTTTCGTTTGAATACGTTTATGTTCTGCACTGCACGGATGCTTTTTCATAATTCGAAGATACAAAACAAAAATTTTTATTATCTGCACTTCACAGCGGCCTTTTCGTAATTAAGAAAAACCAAAAACAGAAAAAAATAGAAGTTATGTAACGCGCTGACGACATTCGTACTGCTGGAAGCCAACAAATAATAGCAAGAGCCTCTGTTCGTTCAGCCACTGCCTTACATACGAATTTGTTCTCAAATGTTCAACTTGAATCACATTTCTTACAATCGGCCTATTGACCATGAAAAAATCAAATCATAACTTGGTTGAAAAAATCATTGTGCTTTTGGCTCAGTGCAGTGATATTCTAGGTCAGAGTTGGGCAAAGTGGCTCCCATTTAGGTGGTAGATGAGGGGTAACATCAAGAGCCAGCGTGATGGGGGAAGAAGAGCGTATTCGAATTTCTTGTATTCCGACTCTCATTACTAACATATGTGATGCTTTTAATGTATTTTGTACGCCCCTTTTACCCTGAGAACTGATTTAGCTCTTTCGTAGCACTTGCTGGGTCTTTTGGCGTCTTTAAGAGCCAAAAATCTGTCCATACCTGTCCTAGGTGTTTAAAAAAGAAAGTGATCTAAGCTAATTTTTATTTTTTGCTTTCGCGAAATAAATTTCAAAAGTATGAATAAGACGAATCCGAATCAAAATTTCACGGATATTTGGTAAATATTTTTCAATAGATTACACTGCTCACTATCATTTTTTCTGCCAATTTTACTTTTGTGACAAACTCGGTAACCGCAATTGCAGCCTGCGCTTTAATCACAGTAGCATGCTGAAATGACTCGCTTATACTTATATACACGGGAGTTGGCAGT